GCGGTTGCTGAACTGTTGCCTAATCGAGTCAGGCGTGACACAACAGAAAACTTGCTAGAGAGAAGGAGTTTCCTGCCCGAAATCGATTCCCTTCGTAGTAAGAGCGTTTGAGGAGCTGGAAGCCAGCAGAGAGTGACTCGGGAATGATGTGGGATGTCAGAAGGCTTAAGGTCAACCAGCGTGCACAGAGGTTGCGAACTGTAATTGCCCTTAATGCTATTTAAGATTAACCTCAATGGTTATCGGGGTTTATTGCATCAGCACCAGAGGAAAAGGAATTTGTGTGAAGAAATAAAACCAAGAGGCTCAGTCAGCCGTGTACAGCTAAGCCAAAGAGAAAAGACTTGAAGCAGTCACTTATAGTATCAGTATTAAACTACAATACGCTTAAGTAATAGAGCCGGGGACCTCACAGCTAGGCACTGCATCCTGAAATTAAAATATTGTCCAACGAGATGTAAAAGTTCAGTGTAGGTGGAAGGAATCATCAGTAAAAGAACAAACAAAAAGTAGGGAGGGAACAACTCTCTAAAGTTGTTTGAGCCTACCAGAATTTGGAGGGAGCCATTAAGAGAAAAGCTGTTAACTGTCGAACTAGGGATAAGGCAAGGAAGCATTAACTCACACTGGGAGGGAGCTGTGCCTTTACCGGCCAGGTCTGTGACCTGTTCAGCACCTTCAGCAGCCAAGGGTTTCAGAGGTGTTCGGGGCAGCCTGGAGCCCAGGGCCACGCGCGCCCCTGCTCTGGCAGAGCAAACAGCAACGCTATCGGAAAGGCCCCAGTGTGCTCACCCTGTAAGGTTAGACAGTCCTGTTCCTGGTATTTCCCCAACTGTTTTAGGTTCTTTACAAACCCGAAGAAAATGGTACACTGCTTTTGATAGCTTATCGAGAGAGATAACGTTTGGACAAAAACTGGGAGAAAGGAAGGGAGGGCAAACTGATTGCATTTTTTTAATAACAAAATCTAATTTTTATTCTTGTAAAACATTTCTAAAAGCAGAACTCTTCTTCAGAAACAGGAAAATATCTACCTTACTGTTAAGAAAAGGAAATCTATTTAGCCTACTAGGTAGCTTTGAGACAAGGCTGAATATTTTTATTATTTATACCATGGTGGGTCCTACAGCTCTCAGGGCTGGAGAGGAGCCCTACCATGCTAGACACTGTCCACAAGCCCTGCTGCGGAGCCCCGAGCAGCGAACCGGCGGCACATAGCTCCACGAAATGGGAGTCGGCTGATGGCAGAAATCCTCACGCAAACCTCAGCCCCCCGGTAGGCCCTCCCTTCCCTAAAGTCTGAGTCAATAGAGGTGCCTTTCAGGATGTCGAGAAGGTCAGTGAGCTGCTCCGGCAGGAGAGCAGCAAGTTTCTACAGCCAAGGACACTTCCTTCTCCGTGCTTCCCCTTCGGGTGGCCACCTTCCCACTCCCCTTTTTTCTTTTTAAACCGAGGGGAGACCGACTGGAGTACCTGAGGATATTATAGTACAGTACAGTACTTACTGCTGCCAGTGCTACCCTTAGCACTAACAGAAATCCGGTGTGAACAGTGTTTCTCAGGCACTTGGCTGAAATATGAACATTCTTGGTTTCCTCTGGTGAGGAATATATGAGTAAAGGAATAAACCACCAGTGCTGGGAAACTGTGAGCCCAATTAATTATTTTGTAGGTTGTTACTGTTAATTTAAGAGTCCTGATTTGAGTGCATTAAACATAATTGACGTTGTCAAATGGAACCATCTCCGGGAGCCAAGGAGACTGACAGTCAGCAAACAGAGCTGCTAGCAATGAGGGGTTCAGCGCTATCCGGACTTAGCCTGTTTCAATGTGTTGAATGGTTGCCTGTTGGTAAATGGTAGATAATGTTGGGAGAAGTTTAGCTGGAAATTATAGGGATGTTTCTGACTTGTTGGAAAAGAGTAACTGCTTGCTTTCTGAAATTATAGGATTAAACTGTATCAGTACTTTAAACGTGACTCATGAGCAGGGGCTTTCTGGAGAGAATTACATAAATTTCCCAAGGTCTCTCTGAATAACAAATTGTTCCAAATAATTTCCCCGTCTTTAGTAACTAAAGGTGAAATCCGGGCCCCACTGAGGTCAACAGAAAAACTCCTTTTGACTGCAGTGGGTTCAGGATTTCACCTCCAGAATGTGGGAAAACTTCGGCTATTCTGTGGTCACCGAGTCTGAAAGCGAGGGGACCTGTGCAGCCGGACAGTGTCATTCTCTCCCATCAGGCAATTCGCTGTCCTCAGGATTTGTATTTACCTCACTTAGCAATGAACCAGCCTCTACTCTGACTTACAGCAGGGTGGATTTACGGTACACTTTTAGATAGCTCTGAGCAAAATCTATCTTCCTGTCAAGGCGCGTGATGCCCAGACGTTTCTTGCTGTGTTACACAGGTAGCATACAGGGAACTGTGCAGCTCTGGGCTGACTATGCGGAAATTTAACTTACCCACATTGCTACCCTGAGGCAGCTACTTGCTTACCTGCATTAAGTTAATTATAATTGACTTTGCTGTAATTATTGCAATTCTAGTCAAGAGTAGATAGCACATATTGTAATTACCCCAACAGCTATTTAAAAAAGAAAAACCCCAAAACAAAAAAACAGAAACCTACACAAATGAGGAAAAGGAAAAACAGCATGGTCAAATCCAATTTAAAACAAGTTGCTTTATGCATAAGAGGAGTAATATAATCTGATTCCATATGGATTTGCAGCTTTTGTCCCTCGGCCCAGACCTGTTATGACACCTCTTCTGGGCGAGGGACAGGGCATGTCGTGCAGGGCCGGGTGCACTGGCCGGCTGGGGCACCCGTGGCGTGGCTTTGGGTGCCTCGCTGCTGAGCTCTGCCTGCCTCTCCCTCAGCGGGGACACCATTTTTCACAAAGCGTGTAGGGGGCCTTTCTCCCTCTTCCAAATTCGGTTGTCGTTGCCCAACCAGCTTAAAAAATACATGAGGATGACTAAGAAGAGGAACCCGGAGAGCACCGTGGGCCAGGTTCATTTCCTTAGGAAAATTGCTAGAAATAAGGGAGAGGTTTCTCCATGGGTGTCTATTAGCATAATTCCGCTGAAGTCTCTTCAGTTACACTGTTTTATATCAGCAGGAGATCTGGCCATAAATATTTAAGAATTTAAAACCCTTGTGGAGGGCATTTGAGGACAGTTTCAGATTTTACAAGAGCAAAGGAATGAAACAAATGACTTCACATTCTTCATGACTTCTTGCCCCTAGCTCAGTCTGTGCTTTGAAAGTCCATCTTCATGTTTGTGCCAACTCCTATTTAGGAGTTTATAACCAGATCTTAACAGTCTTGTGTAAAAATGAACATGATGATTTTCTGGGAGGTTCTGCCCTTGCTCAGAAGACTTCAGCTTCTAGTAGAGCTGTTCTAACTTTACCTAAAGGTAGCTGAGATCAAACTTTGCTCTGTCCTTTTCAAGCTGGAATTTGATGGTTTAGCTCTGAGGATGGAGATACTCCTAACCTGATTCTGTATTTTAAATAATAGTAATGTTTGCCACACATTACCAGTGTAAAGCTTCACAGCACGTACACGTGAACATTTTTTCCGTCTTAAATTTCAGAACGATCTAGCAATTGTTTGATGTGCTAAAATTATTAAATATGAAATTGAAGTTGACCTAAGGCAGAAGTTTTTGCTAGTGATCAAATTGTTAATTGCTTGACTCCAGTGAGAGATGGCGGTATGTAGGGAATGTGGGTTGAAGCAATGCAAGAAATACAGTCTTATTTCACAGTTTAAAATATGCCTCTAGCAGATGTTTTTTGCCTTTCTAAAGTTGTTGAAAGACTATTATTATCTCTTTTTTTTTTTTTTTTTACCTTTCAGCAAAATGATGGTCCAACACTCAGGCCAGGTATCTGCATTAGAAGTCAGCGCCTCCGCAATTGTTCCCACTTTGTCCCCTGCAGGGTCACTGGGGTTTGATGATTTCACAAATTTAACCCCATTGGTGAAAGAGGAACTGAGATTTGCCATTCAGAATAAGCGTCAATCCCACAGAATGTCTTCCACACTGGATACAGTGACAGTTTCTGAAAGGCCAGTTGAAACGTCAGTCATGAAAACAGAGGTATGGTTCTTTAAAATGCATGTCAATGTGACTGAATAACTCTTATATAAAAATTTCACCGTAAGACCAATAATTATATCAAACGCCGACAGCCCTCCCCACCATCTAAACGCGTTCGTCTGTTCGATCCTTCAAAGCCTGTTGCTTGATTATTCTGTAGGCACTTTTGGAAAACCCTATGGTATTTCTCATTTCACTTAAGGGCTGTAGTTGAATGTTTTATCTTTAATTGTGAACCTAAGGACAATGTTTTACGGTGACTGGAGCAAGCACTAACCTGGTTTCTCTGCCTGCTTGTGGCTGCAGTTTTACTTCAGTGCGGGCGGTCCAGTAGGCTCCACATGGGCTGCCCTGAGCTAGACGCGGCTGTGCTTTGGCCACGCTAGTTTTTCACTCCAATAGTCTCAGTGAAAAAATATGTCGCGTATGAAATGATCGACTAAATTAGGGATATGTCTGTACGTTGGTTTCCATCAATTACTGCTGTTGCTGTTATCATGAACCTCCTAATGAAAAAAAAAAAAACAACTTAAGGGGATATTCAATGACACTCCTTTATGTGTGCTGCCTTTGGCCCCCTGTACTCGCCCTGTCTCATCCTTGCTTTCATCTTCTGCTCTGCTCCCTGCACCCCTTGCTCCTTTTCTTCCTTGGAAAACTCAAAGTAGCCTGGCCGGTGTGGGAGAGACACTTGGCAATTTTTCTGAATACCATTGATTTTTAAAATGAGCCGTCGCATGGATTGCATCCATCCGAAGTCCAGTCAGTTTTTTTTTATTGACAATTTTAATGGAGTTACTACTATTTTATGGTATTGCAAGCAAGGTCAGAACCATGTCCTTATGTAACTCATGATGTGAGTGCTAACACCACTCTCTGCATTGTTTCAAAATACGCAGAAGTTATCAAAATGCAGATAGAGTATTTACTATATCTTACTGATTGTGTGTATGTATCTATTTTTCCTGGCTAGTTTACTCCTGAAGAGGATGAAAGAAAAAAACGAAGAAGGGAGAGGAACAAAATTGCTGCTGCAAAGTGCCGAAACAAAAAGAAGGAAAAAACAGAATGCTTGCAGAAAGTAAGTTACTAGCTGCAATTTTTCTTGCTCCTTCATCCTGCCATGATCTGAGTAGATAGTACAGCAGTACTGTCATAGTAGGAAGTGCAGAAGGATGTTACCAAAATCTCTGCAAAACCTTCATAATCTTAGCTGTATTAAAACAAGTGAACATACTATATATTAAATATAGACCTGGTTAAAACTGGAAGAAAGGGAAAGCATGGCAGCAGTGGAAGAAGATTACTGTTTCAGTGATCAATATTTTCTATGGGAATAACATTAATTTGAATGTGTACATTGAACAAAAAAAAAGGGGGGGGGGGGGAATCAAAATCCCTTTTCACGTAATATCTGCCATAGAGCCCAACAAGCCTACAGACACTCACAAATAATCTCTGACGTCCTTATGAAATGGGTGCTGTAGTAGCTTAGCCATGAAATTCTGTCCTAAAACCGCAGCGGTGGCTGCACCTGGTCTGCCATGAGCTGAAGGTAGATTACAGCGGCATCAGGCCTGTCTCTGCTCCTGTATCCAGGGTAGGGAAAAAAGCTATATTCTTGCTTAGTTAGCTTCATGTGGGTTTACAGATATGTGACATGACATTCCAGGGAGTTAATAGGAGGTATAGATAATTTTGGGTCAATTTTTGACCCAAAAAGTTCAGAGTAACTCCGCAGAAGATAGCAAGATTACTCTGCATGCGTACTGTTGTAAATGAGATCTGAATTTGACTCTGCAACTTCCGTTACCCCTCTAAAGGACAAAGAAGGCAACTGGGAATCTGTTTTTCAGACTACTATAAATTGAGGGGGGGTGCATAGTTTCACTATTACAGGGCTCTAAGAACATGTACTTTTCTTCTCAGCCAGCCATATGTTTTCGCACTGATAAAAGACCGCAACTATTAGGCAAACATTGCAATCAGCTACTTAAAACAGGCAGTCTAATAGTCGTGTCTGTACTTTGTGACTAGGAATCAGAAAAGCTGGAAACTATCAATGCAGAATTAAAAGCCCAGATTGAAGAGCTAAAGAATGAGAAGCAGCATTTGATATACATGCTAAATCTTCACAGGCCCACTTGTATAGTCCGGGCACAGAACGGAAGGACACCTGAAGATGAAAGGAATCTTTTTATTCAACAGATCAAAGAAGGAACATTACAAGGTTAAGTGACATGGCAAACATGGAAGTATTTATATTATATTTTAAGAGCTACCAGAATCCATGGAGGATCTGACTTAATGTGTAGGATTCTATTAGTCAAGAGCCTTTAGGAAGGGCAGATTGCTTTCTTACGCAGAAAGAATCATTTTGGCTTGACAGCGACTCTTCCCCTCGGAAGATCCGGTCTCAATCAAATTGAAGCATCTTCTGCCTCAAATATAGGTTTTGCACCTGTCATACTTGCTGTTCCTAGGAGCTACAGACGACAGCTTCAGAAGTTTTAGCTCTCTGCTAGTATACAGTATCTGCACTCACGACGTTTGTGCTAGAACACTATGACTTGCAATGATGCACGTGGTACAGACAGCTGTGCTGGATGGACACTATCTTTCCTTATTGCTGGTGGGGAAAGCAGACTGAGAGTATTTTTTTAAAGTTTTGAGGTTTCCAGGAGGATGCTTTCTGGCAGAATGTACTGATACGTAATACTGCATTCTAACCAAACACGTACACACACACACAGACACACACACACACAGACACACACACACACAGACACAGACACACACACAGACAGACACATACACAAAAAGCCTTTAGTCCCAACTAAGCTTTGTAATTTTTTTTTTTCACAACACTTGTGTGGGTTTCTTCTGTGACTCATCTCAGAGACTGAATTTGAAAAGTTTGGTAGGTGCGACAAAGTAGTGTTTCTTGCAAAACATCCATGTAGCTAAGTTTGTGCTTTATGAGCTGGAACCCCACCTACTATCCTTTGGGGACTATAATTTTTCCTTGAGTTGCTGGAGAGCATTTTGTACTACCACTTGGTGACTGGGTGGATTGGACCCTCTGGAGAGAGGAAACTATGAAGGGATTATGATAAGGGTTTTGCCAGAGTAAAGAACTGCAGGACTGAATCCCAGGCTTGTGAATCATGAAAAATAAAAAAAGACATTTTAGTCTAGGATCTGATCCTGCAAGCCTTAAATCATGCTTCTAGGCCTCTCTCAGAGAAGAGGTTCTATGGACTTCAGTAGGTCTGGTTATACAGATAGCTCTTGCAGACTTAAGGGCATGACAAAATCTTGTCCAGCCTTGTCAGGATTACTTCCTATTACTGATGATTCCGAGCGGAAAAATATGATTGCAGTTACTTTATTTCACATTTGGGTGGCAACTTCAGTCAATCGGAAGTGTTACTTAGAATCTGAAGGAGGCAAGAGTTTTGATGTCGTGAATAATTGTTTTTCTTTTTTATTAAATACTAACCTTAGATGTTTCTGAACTGGTAGAAGAGCTGCTGGACAAAACAGTTGGAGCTATGAGTGTTTAAATTCTGATGTTTCTGTGAAATTCTCAGATTGTTTAATCCTATAAAATATATCCTTACAATTTTCTGTAAAAGAAAATATCCTTATTTATCACTAATATCCTCATGAGTAAAGTTAATAAATACTGCAAGCAAGATAAAACTGAAAACACAAGTGTTGTGCTGTTTTTTTGCTTTTATCTCTTGGTGTTTAATATTATATATTCCTAAACTTCAACAGTTGTATTTGAGACACCACTATTCAAAACCCTCAGCCCTCATCTTTTCCTCAGATGAAGTGCTGTGTATCTTGAGTGATTGGATGCAGAGATTAGACCTTCCAAAATTTTGTATCTTCACGAGTGGTGTCTAGCTGCTCAATGCCACAATTTAAGCAAAGCAGACAATAAGAATGGAGCTTACAGTACATAATATTTTACACCAGTTATGCAGTGTTGAAATTACGTTTTTATTCTAAAGGCTAAACTTAAAGATACCTCAGCCATAAGCTTCTTTCTTTGCAAGTCCCGGTTGAGTCTATCAGATATCATACCTGATCCTTATATGATCTTTATATTCTGCAACAGAACTTCTTAGTACCTTTCCTAAGATCTGGATATATTGTAATGTCCTACAAACTATGTCATGTTTAAAAGATATGTACTTCATGTATTTGAAAAGTGAATGTATTAAAAAGACAACATATTAGGTCTGATTCTGTCCTGAGAATCCACTTTCTTTCTGTACGTTGGAAGCAGCTTCCATTGACTTCAGTGAGAGTTTTACTCACGTCCTGGAGGCTGAGTGTGGAGCCTCTGCTGCAACTTCACTGGCTTAGAGGGAGTGACTTGGGGACTCAGTGGGGCCACTTGTTTGTCAGACAACAGATGTACGTAAAGCCCATTACAATAGCCTTGTCCAGCGAACACTCATTGGTATTTGACGTCTGTCGTATGGAAGTACAAAACTGAGGCATCAACACGATACCATGCTCCTTGGCTTTGCCCTTTGTATATCAAATGCCAACAGACAAAAGAGTTTGTCTCCTATGCCGCTGTAAAGCGTTACCGCAGAGACTAGAGTATAGTCACAGAATTCGTGTCCCTCCTTTAGGGAATTTGTATGGTTGCTCTTAACCGTATCACGGCTGACGCAGGCGTCATGCTTTTGTTGCTTGATGTTATTTACTTAGCATGCCAAATGTTAATACGGTACCACTACTATTGTCAGAATAAAATTATTTTTATTTCTTTATATGTGCAGTCATAGCTGCTTTCTACTGTGTGTATGTGTGTGTGCATGCGTGCACCTGCACGCTAATCTGGAAATGATGGTACTGAAGTCAATTTGACTATGCCCAAGAAAAGAGTGTTTAAAAAGCTAGAAAGGAGCCGTCTGTTGCGTGAGTTTTCTAAAAGTATACTTTATTCAGGAGAACTTTTAAAATGCATTAAAAGCAATTTGTTTTCTATTCTCAAGTTTGTTTTGATACTTTAATAAAAAATAATTAATATATATTTACTCATGTGTCATTTAATTCATTCTAAGTTTCAAGGTCCAGGTCCATTTTCTTAGAACAGCGCTATGATATTAAAAAAAAACCCCACATTTAATAGTTTTTCAACAATAAGCTTCTTATAAAGTAAAACTGGTACTGTTCACTGATCCTCAGGATATAAACAACGTTTTGTTATTGCAAGGTTGATCGTGAATACCAGGCTAATTTCTTATTCATGGCTCAGGGGTTAGACTAGGGCACTGGAAGTCATAACTCCTACCCTTGCAAATGGCCAGCTGATAGTTATTTCAGCTTGCTGATTACCTAACTTGCAAATGGGGGTAATACTTTTGAGGGCTGCTGTAAAGTTTTTATGTTTATAGATTGCTTTCAGCACTCGGATGAAAGGTGCTAAAGAAGTATAGCCTGATTCGGAGCTTTGTTTTGGGTGCGCGTGCGTGTGTGGGGAAGCATGAGGAATGATGAACAAAATGTACCATCCTGCTTTTTCAAAACTAAGTGTCTACACCCAGACAGAAGTCCCTGTGTTTTGACAGCCAGTGGCGTAGACCAAAAATTTTGGCTCGAATACTTTGCAAGCAGTCATAACTTGTAATACGGAGGTCAGATAGAAGGCCAAGAGCTCCAGGGACCGGGAAATTCATTGCAGTATTGCAAAACGTAGTTAAAAATACCATTTGGAAGGAAGACCTAGGTTACTGTGAGCCTGGCAATGCTGAGCATTCTTTTTTCCTGTCAACACATCCATTTACAGATGTGCAGTCTTCAGCATGTGCATTCACCCTATCACACATTCTCCTATACCTGCTATCAAATTTTAGCTTTGAATATTTAATTCGCTTTTAATTTGGCAAATTTATAAATCATCCACCTGCTTTCTAAGTTGTCTTCTGGTTATCAGCACAAGCTTGTCTTAGAAAACCTTATCAACAAAATTAGGGCTATGAATTCCTGGATTGATATTGTATAATATTGCCTTTAAATGGTGTGATCTGAAACCATTTAATTGTGCATGTAGCTGGCCTATATATCATATTCCTAGTAGCATCATTTGTACTTCTTGAATTAAAGAGTACCTTGCATCTTCTCTGTAGGCCTTGTTTTGGACACTAAATATGTGTGTGTACAGGCCCATGCAGATCTTAATGCGTGCTGGGCTTTAGGCTGCACATTCTTTAACGAGCATCTACTTTTGTCTAGCTCTTCCCTTGATGTGAGTTAATAAATAGCAGTACTGAAGGTAGGTAAAGCCAATAGTTTACACTAGGCTAGAAACTGAAAGGTAACATATTTAAATTGACAATAGTGTTTCTAGCTGGGTCCGCCTAGAATTCGAAGTTATTGCCTAAGGGGTTGGCGTTAAAATCCCTATGATTGTTAGTTTTGTATTAGAAATAGGGTAATGAAAAATGATTTATGGCTAATGAAGATAAACAGTACAGTTGTAACAAAAGAGCTTTGAAAATGAAATCTACTTCATCTTAAAAAACATCTGACTCCTGAGTGGCAATTTTATCTCACATCCATTTTTTATGTTTTTATTTTTTACATCCCATGCAGCAGTCTCCTGGACTAGATACCACCAAGTCTCACTCCGTCTGCCCTCGCCCATGCTTCTATGTCTGCCCAGTGCCCCCAACTGGAGACCCTGAGAAGCACATGATAAAGGTGTTGCTCCTAAATGTTAACCTACATAGAAATACTTAATAATATTCTTCATCAGCTTATAATGCACCTGCATTATAAGCGGTATCGTCTTTTTCTTTATATAATAGACATCATTCCTTTTTAAAGTGTAGCTAAGATAAAGAGTGACAATATTAAAAGAATCTTTGTACTGGAAGCTCATCTCCCTAGTGGACACTCTGAGTCAGAACTGCTGACTGTAGTGATAAAAATAGTTATTTACTAATTTTCAGTCCTATTAGATCTTCAAAGTCAGCACAGTCAAAAGAGAATACACTGGACTCTATTCTTGATTTAGCATCAGTTCTGACTGCACATCTTTATTATTGCCAACAATGATGCATGAACTGAAAAAAACCTATCGATTTTCAGACCCCCCAAGCTGTCACTCAGAAAAATGATTAGACCTGTGAAATGAGTAAGTGCAAAAATGGAAACAAACTGAGAGATGAAGTTGGGATCCTTTTTTCCACTTTTGAGAATTTAGCAACTTGATTATGTTTATAAAAATATATATATTTAACCACTTTTGCAGACTATGCTAAAATAACCTATGCTAAAAGTGGTATAGTGTACCACTATACCCACTTAGACATTGGGTATGTCTACACTGCAAATAGTAGTGGAGCATAGCAATACTTTTACATAAACTGGCTTAGTACTGGGAGCACCCTAGTGATGACAGCAAGAAGCTCAGCGTGTGCTAACTGATGCCCCTGAGCAGGTGAGCTCTGCGTGTTGCTGGCATCTGAGGTAGCTCGTCTGGAGGCAGCTCAGGTGTCAGCTGAGTTGCTGTCTGGAATCCCAACAAATGGCTCCACTGCTGCTTCAGACCAAAGGTCCGTCCAGCCCTGTTTTCTTCCTACAGCAGTGATCGTAAGCAGATATCCAGGGAAGAATAAGAACAGACCAAGCAGACGTGATACTTCTGCTGGGTGCTCTCCCATGTTCTGACTATTTTCCAGCTCCAGAGTCACGTAAATGCAACACAATTCTTCTAGTTAGTGACTCTGAGTAGCTCTTTCTCTCAGGTATTTGACTAGTTTCTCACCCACAGTAGCTTTTGATGGTAAATTCTGCTGGCCTATTGCCACTTACAAGAAAAAAAGCTCCTTTTGTTTGTTTTGAACCTGTCCCCCTGGCTTCACTTGCAGCCCCTTCTTCTTGAATAGGAAAAGATAATGCTTATCCATCTCCTCGCTGCTGTGTGTGATTTTTGTACCCCTCTACACCGTTTTCTCTTCAGGATGAAGAGTCCCAGCCTACTCAGTCTTTTTTTCTTTTTGGTAATCATTTCACATCTTTGACCATCCTTGTTACCCAGTTTGGCTGGGAAAGGAATGTATCTTTTTGCATATGTGCTTTAAGATAAGAAGACCAGAACTCCTCACAGTATTCAAGGTGTGGTCAAGCCACGCATTAATACAGTGCGGTCACGTACACCGACATATGTAATGATGTTCATTATTCCTTTCCTAGTAATTCCAGAGATTTGATTTGCTTTTTTGACCGCTGCCAACAGCACTGAGTTGATGATGCAATAAAACAATCTATCATAACCCTAAAATCTCACTCCTGAATAGTGACGGTAAACTCAGAGCCCAACATTTCATATACGAAACTAGGATCAATTTTCCCACATGCATCACCTTATACTTACCTCCATTGAATTTTATCTACCATTTTAATTTCCAGACAGTAAATCTCATAAAGGCTTTCTGCAAATCTCCTCAGACTGCCCTTTTCTTTACTCTTTGCTATCCTGAATAATTATGTACTATTATCAACTTTCTCCCTACACTGCTCACCCCTTTACCAGCTCATTTATGAAAACGTTGAACAGTAAAGGTCCCAGGACAGATTCCTGTGCAAGTCCACTGGATGTCCTCCCTCTGCTAAGAGAACTCATTATTTACTCCTGCCCTTTGTTTCCTATCTTTTATGCATGCATATGCATTTTCTCCTATCCCATGGCTGCTTGGTTTCCTTACAAACCTTTGGTGAGGGCATTTATTCAAAGTCTGTTAGAATTTTCCATAGACTACATCTACCGGATCACCCTGACCCGCTTATTTGTCAGCCCTTTCAAAGATCTCCAAATGGGTCTGTAAGCCTGAACTTCATTTCACAAAAAAATGTGCTGAGTCTCTCCAAGGAGACTGCATTTATTCAGGTACCTACTGATTCATAGTTCTTTAATCTTAATTCCCTTTCCTTTGCCTGACGCAGATGTCAGACTGCCAGGCCTGTAGTTCCCTGGATCCTCCTCCTTTTGTAAAGGTTGGTGACACATTTGCCACACTCCAGTCTTCAGGTACTAAGGAAGATTAAGTGAGAATGAGTTACATGCTCTTTGCAGTAATTCAGTAATTTTTCTCTGTCTGTTTTCTTTGAACTCTTGGATGAAAACCTGACTGGTTAGCGTTGATTTTTTCTCTAAAACTTCACCGACAGTCACTTCAGTTTCAGACTGATCCTCTGCTGGCTCCCTTCACTGAAGAGCCGGGATCCTTCCCTTTGGACCTTGACCATCCTTTGGCACTAGATTCTCTAAGATACTAATTATTACAAATATATTTGAAGGGTGATTTAGCATTTATTTCAATTTCTTAAGCCACTCTGTTCCCTGGACCTGCCTCTGACAGGCTTCTTCAGCCCTAAGTCCTGTCTCTAGTATGTCTCCTGTAACAGGGCCTTCATCATCCTCAGATCACATTTGGAACTTTCAGAGTCTCTGTAGGCCACTCCAATCTTTCAGCTGCCTTATTAAAGAGCCGTAACACAGGTAAAAATCTGATTGCTGGATTTCAATCCCTGCCCTGCCATGCGACTCAGTCACACAAACCACCCAATACCTCAATTTCTCCATCTGGAAAACAGGGGTAATAACTGATGCCTCCCTTTCTAAAGCACTTTGACATCATCAAAGGAGAAGTGTTATGATTTGTCTTCTCACTTATAAAATTGTGCAGTGCATTAAAAAAAAAAATAGCCTCTATTTGCCAGCTTATCTCCATTAAAAAGTTATGGCAGTGCCACTCTGCCTTTCCTTTCAAGGAAAATAAAATCCTTTGCCTTTGAAGATTGAATCATTAAGCATCCTTGCAAAATTTGTTCAAAATTGTGGTAAGTTACTGCAAAGCTATTGAAGAGAGAGGTAAATTTTTATTGCCGTGTCGTTACCACTTGTATTAAAGTGAATTCTTCCGAAAGCCGTGCATGAAATGGGACTCCACTCCAACCCAAACC